CATTCTGTGACGATCTCCTCCGTCTCCTTGCCCCCCCCTCTCCCCACCCCCCTTCGGCCGCAGCGTAGCTGCGGCGGGTCCACTTGTTTATTTTAAATGAGGGATGGAAAGTGGTCGTGCAGCGTACGCGCCGCGAACCAAGGGTATTAGCATAGTATTTAAGGTAGTTGGAATGGTAAAGAGTTCCTCAATCTGAGTGGCGAATGAGTAGAAGGATTGGGATCCTCAACGAGTGGATGTTGAGGAGATGTCGGGGAGATGGTGATTTCGCCATGATAGTAAAACTCATGTCACCTTCTTCTTTATTGGATACCATTTTGTGAATTCTGATGGTAGAGAGCCCTATGCTCGACCTTGCCGTGGCCTGGGAACGTGCGTAGGGTGTCGACAACACTCCGGTGTAGTCGTGCATTGTCATGCAATTTTATTGCTTGTAAATCGATATTGTAAATCGATATTTTAAATCGACATTTTGAATCGATTTTATATTTCGATATGCAATTTGATATTTTATTTGGTATTTAATTTGATATGTGTTGAGAGTTTAATTTGATTATTTGATATCTCGAGTCGATATTTTACGTGGTATTTCATGCTCAACTTATTTTTACGTTTCATTATGCGTTCATGATGTGATCGTGGTGCGATCTTTTCATTTCTCCTTTACCGTCATATGACTCGTATCTCGCGTTTACCGCCCTTCGCCATTATTATTCTCGGTTTTACCCATAGTGCCATTCTCACATTACCCTGGGGGATCTGTTTGTGTCCGGCGATATCTTGCGCTTACTAGAGATTAATCTAGTAGCCTGTGAATATTGTGATCACGAAGCCTCTGGACGAAGGTGGTAATCAAGCTGCATCTTGTCTATCAAGGGAGGCGCGCGGAGTAGCTTCGCACCTCGCATAGCTGCGGAAGGCACACAGAGTGACACAGGTATCCGAAGAATCCAAGCATGAGAGAGCGGCCGGTGCAGCACGAAGTGGGAAGGTGCTGTATGGTTATCTGCATCAACTGGCGGGAGGTTACACTGCTGAGCACGGTTGAAGCCAAGTGGGTGATTGGACTAAGTGTGAGTTGCGGGATTGTAGCTGGCTTCACCATCGGTCGCATGACTGGACGGGGACGTGGTAGTAAAGCAGGAGGTCACCGCGGACGGTGGTCCAACGACGGCCGTTATTGGATGGAGAACACCGGTAGTACGAGCGGGGGACAGACGAACCCTGCCACGTATAATGTGCCAGGTCCAGTCTATCCTCCTGGTGTTAATCAACACCAGTTTGGGCCACCGTATCAGCAGTCGATCGCAGTGCAGGTTGCCGCTCCAGTACTACCTGCAATGACCACTACGCCTGCTGCGCCTGTACAGTATCCGATGGTACAACATGGTCCATTTTCGCAACCATTGGGCATTCAGTCATGGCAGATGCCAGGGCAATGGCCAATCAATGGGCAGTGGGGGGCTCCGCCTCCCATCAGTATGCCGCCCCCTGCGAACCTTCCTCCTGTCAACCAAACGGCATCACACCAGGCCGTACCGAGTGGGCCGACCAATGCTCAGAACGCTGCTCGTAAAGGCCCGGCGGCGAATGAATTTCCGGGTCCCGGAAACAGAGCTTACTTCACGAAAGAATACATGGATATTCTTGAAGGCATTAAGATGAACAAGGCAATTGAGGAGGCGAAGAAGCGGTTGTCCGAGAATCGAAGGACCAGTATACGCATTGGTGACGTGCAAGATGAAGGGAGTCGTTCGGATGTGCGATCCGTTGAAGGAACGAAGTCATCTGACAAGACAAATGAGCTGAAAGCTTGGGTCACCACCACCTTCGAAAGTTCTCTCAAACTCATAACGGAGAAGCTTCAGGAAGTTGATCAGAAGGTGAAAGTGACTACTGCTGATAAAGCTGAATTGGCAAGGCTGCGAGTGGAGAAAGCCGTGCTCGAGAAAGCCGCGCTCGAGAAAGACGCCGCTGAGAAGGATGTCGCGGAAAGTGAGGGGCATGAACTGTCTAGCAGCGAGAAGCGCAAACGGGTGGGTGAACGGACGCCGGTTGGTAACTCACCTCGGATCAATCGAGTTAGATCACGTGGGAGTAAGACGAAGTCACGGACGAAACGTATTGATATATCGTCCGAAGACGAAGGAGACAAGGCTGGTTCTGTAAAGCAGAATCTCCAACCAAAGATGGAGACAAGCAGCGAACTGGGAGATATCAAGTCCATGCTGGCTGCGCTGTTGCAAGGGCTGGCGGATGCAAAAGGCAAAGCTCCCATCAGTGAGCACATACCAGCATCAGCACCAGAAGACGAAGTGTTGGAAGAGGAGGAAGATGTGGATATCGTCCAGAATGCAACTCTAAAAGACGACGAAGAAGAGAGTGATGAGGGCGGCCTTGCGGCTTATATGAAGATGAGGCAGGAATTTTATAGCTCCTTGCATTACACGCGCGTCCAAGAGTTGTGCAAGCAGAAGAATATCCCATACTTCAAGAAAGATCTGGGAGCATGGGAACTGGCGAGGAGTGACCTCCAAGAATACACGGACATGTTAAAAGGGGAGAAGCCAGCGAACGCTCCGGAACCTTCGTCACGCAAGACTGAAGCACGGTCGACTGAGGGAGCTGAGAAGCCCTCCACGTCTGAGAATCCCGTCAAGGGAAACTGATCGGAGGAATCCGATCGAAAAGACGAGCGTGCAACCGTATAGCGCGTTTAAAACCACTTGTTGAGTGCTCTTTGGCCTGCCTGCTTGAAAAGTTGCATGTACTCGCAATTCTGAGCGCGTGTCTTGTTGGGGAGATTGTCTGGGGTCGGGTTTACCTTCGATTCTGGTTACGAATGACACCTGAGGAATGGAATCTAATGCTGGATGGGCGTTGCTGCGTTTATGTCCTCATGTCGTTGTCGCATAAAACAGTCTATGTTGGAAAAACCACTCGCAAGCTAAGGGAGCGATGGTTGGAACACGTGAGGGCAGCGAAAGGTATTAGTAAGCAAAAGGTGCACACCTGGATTAGTAAGGCGGGGGTGGGGCACTATGTACCTATTCCCATCTGGTTTAGGGACGAGAATATGATTGACCATGTCGAGCAAGTCATCATTAGGGACTGTAACCCAGGGTTGAATGCGCGGGGTCAAAAAAGTCGTAAGTTGAGGAGGGTCAGGGGATCGAAGTCCAGTAGGCAGAGTGGTCGCCTGCCACCCCAGGTAGTAGAACCACTGTTTTTTCGTTGTCTAGGTGTCGGGGTGGTGAACGATCCCGATTTGCTGAAGATTTTAAAGTTGGTCAGCAAAGAAAAAAGTAGGAAGACTTTTGAGATGACGAATAAACCAGGTGGTAAATGGTTGACGTCGTGGCGTTTGGTTGTTCTCCTGTATGGTTTTTCCAAGGTAGAAAGCCAAGGAAAAAAACTACTGTTGAAAGACGCAAAACCGTTTTTTGAAGAGGGGGGTGTAAATTTGGTTTACAGCCTGGTTAGAACGGTTACGAAGTCTGATCTGCTGAAACACAAGTTAATTACTCTTTTGCGTGCCCCTTGAAAACGTCGTGAGTTGTATAAATTGTCGCTTGACGAGCTGATTGATCTTAACAATGCGATGAAGACAGTGAATCGGCCAAAAGGTCGGCAGACGATTCACGGTATACTAACTACGGTTTTTAAGAACAAGTTCGTTATTAACCCGCGTACTAGAATCACTGTGAAAATTCCTTTCTGCACTACGGTTGAAAAAAAGAAGGTGGAGTCTGAGGTGAAGAAGTGGATTTTGGAGTATGCCCAACCTACCAAACTCGGTGACTTGTATGCAAGGAGGACCAAGGCGGTCTGGTTGAAAGCCAGATCCGTGGCTGACCTCCTGCATAATCATAAATTCTTTGCACAACAGCTTTGTTTTGAATGCACTTGTGTTGATTTCGACCTGCCCAAGATGAACGGGCATGTGGCAGTCAAACTGAGTGAGGTAGAGGGGATACATCCGTTCCTCTTCAACTCAAAGAACGTGCCTTTTCCTCGCTCGACTGTATCTACGGAAGGCGTGAATCGTGCTTGCAATGAGACTCTCGATTGCCTGCGAGATATGAACGTTGTGACAGGAACCATGCACTGTAACTTCCTGCAGATTTCCAAGCGTGGGGAACCAATGATGGAGGGTTGCGTTCTAACTGAGTACGTGAAAGGGGTGAAACAGGCCCTGAGTGGGCTTGTCCTCTCCCCCCTGGATCGCAACGTTAGTGCAACATGGATTGAGTACCCAGTCCTGTATGAGGCTGGGCTCAAATTCATGTTTTTGAAGAACAGTAATTATGAAGCAGTTTCTGGATCAAAAGAAGCGGTTTTGTCCAAAATGAGGACCAGGTACGTAGATGCTGGCCTCAGTAAGATTGGGAAGTGGGACGGGAATGGTGGGTTGCAACACGCGTACATCCTCTCGAAAGAAAAGGATAAGCGCAAGAAGAGACCTATTGTTCCATCCTACCTGAGCCCATACAGGGCTGCGTCTGGGGTATTATCAACAGCTTTGAATGCCCTCATTGCACAGACCGACGAGCAACACTTCAACCTGCGGACTATGAGGGACTTAAAGACAGGAATCCTTAGCATTAACGAGAAAGTGGACAGAGAGGGGAGGAGACTTGCGATCTTGGCCCGTACATACGATATAAAGGAAATGTTCACACAGCTTCCACACGAGGAAATTAGGAAGGCTGTCTCGTGGATTATTGGTTGTTTTGCCGCCAGATCCATAAAATGGATTCGTGTAAATTCTCGGAAGAAGGAAAACCACTTCCGCAAAGCCCAGGGAGAAGCAGGTTGGAAGTCGGTCCGGCTGACCGACCTGGGTGTGCTCACGGATTTTCAGCTCTCGAACACAGTGTTCTTAGTTACTGACCAGGTGGTTCGACAGCAGAGAGGGATTCCCATGGGGGGACGGGCGAGCCCCCCACTCGCCTGTGTACTATGCATGTATGTTGAGAATCAGTTTATGAGGAGTCTCGGCTCGGACCAATCGCTAGTTATGGGAAAACGCTACATTGATGACTTACTGATTGTATCGCTGTATCACAAGACTGAACCAGGTGCAAGGGAGAAAGTTGAAGGAAGGCTCGACCAAGTAACGCATTGCTACCCGGAAGGTTTGGTGTTGGAACAGACTGACCCGGATATAGGCGTTCTCGATTTTCTTGAAACAAGACTGATTGTGTGTGACGAAAAGCGAATCGTGATGTCGCATAAATTCAAGAACTCGGAATCGATCTGGTCCTCTGGACCTCTGAGCTTCAAGACATACAAGAGTATCGTGTCGTATGGTCCAAGTACAGCGAAGTTCGCCACGATTGGAATACGTTTTTTCGGATCAGACAAAATTCTAATTGCAACGGAGTTACGTGCCTCAATGTCCTCACGCTGTGTGAGGAGCTTAGAAAGTGTAAGTATCCAGTGAAAGTCGTGGTTGCTGGCCTGCGGTGGATGCAGCGCCGGGAAAAATCACCCTTCTGGGTGGGGTTGCTGAACATTGTAAAACGACTGTTCCCTGGATAAATAGGCTACATGGACAGGGTTCCTGATGCAAGGCCGGGCCTCCTTATTGTGGCAACACGTAACTGGGCAGGTACCGCGACGAATACAAGGTAGGGTCTGAAGGCGTTTTTATCGCAAAAGTAATACGGCGGCAAGATGGGTGAGTGTGCTGCCTGTTATTGCTGCTGCACATACCAGGGCATGTACCAGGTCGGAGAGAAGGTTTTGTTCATAGCACATTTTGAAGATGGACATTACGTTTTTTCAAATTTTGGAAGTCTGCACATTCGGCACTCAGCCAGACGGCGATGCTGGCTGGCCTACTGCTACGTATCTCTTATTTCTGTAAAAGCTACGGATCCGGGATATCTTCTGTGTGGATAGCAGTTTTGGCCGCCAGAGTAAGGACAGCCTGGGCGCACCACGGGGTTGACGTATTCTGAGGATATTGGCCTCAACTTGAAGGTCTGAACCGGGACGAAGAGTGGAGTATTCCTGCAGGACCAGCACTCCCTTTTTCGCCAAATACATTTTGTAGCAGAAGTTAGTGGCAGTGGTCTGTGCCCTCTGCTGTTGCTCTGGGTCTGAGGTCGAAGGCTTTTATTATTGTGAAGAGTTGTTTGGCCGCCATGGTAAGGACGGCCTCTGCGCAACACAGGGTTGACGTATTCTGAGGATATCGGCCTCAACTGGAAGTACTGAACCGGGACGAAGAGTGGAGTATGTACAGCACTCCCTTTTTTTCGCCAAATACATTTTGTAGTAAAAGTAAGTGGCAGTGGCCTGTGCCCACTGACGCTGTTCCTAGTCTGAGGTCGAAGGCTGTATATTTTTATTTTTTATTTATATATTTTAAATGAGGGATGGAAAGTTGTCGCGCAGCGTACGCGCCGCGAACCAAGGGTATTAGCATAGTATTTAAGGTAGTAGGAATGGTAAAGAGTTCCTCAATCTGAGTGGCGAATGAGTAGAAGGATTGAGATCCTCAACGAGTGGATGTTGAGGAGATGCGGGGGAGATGGTGATTTCGCCATGATAGTAAAACTCATGTCACCTTCTTCTTTATTGGATACTATTTTGTCAATTCTGAAGGCCCAACTTGAATTGGGCACTAAAAACATATCGAAGCCTACTCTGAGCGAAGTGGCTCATCCCCAATGGAGGAAAAACAGAATACATTTTGTAGCGTGCACGAAAAGGTTAATTCTCCAACCTAGACGATTCCAAAGTGCTCTCCCTTACAAAACAAACATTGCCAAAGAAATATTGATGCATATATCACCTGCTTAGTTAATCCCCTGGTAATCAGGGCAATCAATGATGGCAGGCTGATAGCTGGAAAATGGCATTTGGTTAGGGGTAGTTGGAGGAGGGAGGAACTAGCTTCTCAGCAGCAGGCATCTGGCGCCCGGCCCAGGGTGATGAGGTTTCCTCCCATCTCTTAACAACC